AATTTTTGCCAAAATTAAATCAGCTGATTTATGGCGCTGCCCTTTAGGGATTAGAACCGTTTAACCGTTTAAAAATTCCTCTTCACCACATTTCTCATTATCTTCAGGAAGTGATTCTAGTGAATCGAAATAGAAGAATTGATAGACTGGGTTGAATTTTCCACTACATGCTTTGAGTACTTCCTGGGCTACCAAACCTCCGAATACTGCAGCCATTGGCGATAAATCACCAACTGCTTCATATGCAAGTTGTTTTATAAGCTTATCACTTAGTTCAACCTATAAATCAAAAAATTTTTGAATGTTAAAGAAAAGGAGTATTAAAACGGTTACTATTCATTACTTTAACGTACCTTTTCCTCGCACTGCTCATTAAGTTCTTTGGCCAACTTAAGAACTTCTTCTGCATCATGTTCGTTATGTGGACGAGGAAGTGAACCATTCTTTTCGGTAAATGCATGCAACGCTTGGAAACCCAAGTGTAATTGTCCAGGTCGATCCCATTTACCAAAATCGGAAACAAGATATTCTGGTTTTTGCAAAGCTTCTCGAAGAGATTTAAAGCTAATTGTTTTTGGCTGCTTGACTTGTGTGAAAAGACCACCACTAATATAGTCACCAAAGTTTGAAGTATCACCAATACTAAAAGTGTAAGGACCTAATTGCAAAGCAATATATAAATTATTGAAATCATTTTCAACAAGCGCAGATGGTAAAATTTACACTCACCCAGTACTTTAATTTTTCTTGGTTCACAATCGTTTAATTCTTCCATACCCTTAATTTCAGTAAAAGTCACATATTCACCATCTTCCAGGCCATGTCGCGATTCATCAAGACACGTTACAATTCCGTCGATGTCTTTTGAGATTGCAGCGACCATTCCTGTTAATGGATTCTCACCCGTGGTGTCAGTGACAATGAATCGTGGTCCAAAATCGGTAAAAGCCATGCTGATTCACAAATAGAAGTTAATAATAATTATTTAAGAAAATAGATAATATTGTAAAACTTTCATTTTACCCGAAAAGACCGCGAATATCAGTTGAAATAAAATGTATTCCATTAGCATGAGTAAAATCGTTAATTTCCAATTGCTTCTTTAGCGGTGTTTCTGTCAACACAACAACCTGCAAGTAATATAACACGATTCAGTAAATATGTACGCATATATTATGCGATTTGAAATAAGCCAGTCTGCCAATTACGCGTATTATTTAAATAATAACAAACATCACCTGAAAATCCCTTATTTTATCATTCGTTAATTCTCCTTCCAATATAGATACAGGTACGTATTGATTGAGTTCGGCCAACCGTGGTCTAGACACTGTAGCTCTGGGCTTTCCTATGTCATCCTCATGAAGGAAAAACTAAACAAAAATACATGTCATCAATGATCAGCACTACTATTATTACTTATAAATACTCGTAACATTCGTAAGAGTCCTACTTGCGATGACAAATCGGAAATCTTGACTGGCTCGGGATCGTAAAGAGTGACACTTTTAACGCCGGCTAATACGACATTTTTTGCTATACCATGATCAAATTACGCATAAAATTAATTAATGCGAATAACATAAAGAATGAACTCAAAAAAGAAAAAAAAAAACATACCAATCTCAACACCAAGACCCTTTAAGCCTACGATAAGAACGTTAGAACTTCCCATTTTTTTCATAGCATCATGACCAAGAACATAGCTGTACAAATAAACAGATCGTAATTATTTTCAGCTGAAATCAAGCCTTAACTTTCACATAGCTTAAGTGAAATGATAATAAATACAGCTGTCTAGAGTAAAGCCCCTCATCAATCGCCGCTTCAGAATGTTCAACTTCCATGATCAAAATAGCCTTGTCTGTAAATTCACCCTTCCGTTAGCGTTAGTTTATTACAAGTATTAAAATTTTATTCCTGGACGATTAACAGGCTCCTAAGCTTGAAATCAATGCTACGGGGGATCTTATATATTCAATTTTCTAGCAATGATTGGTTCGGAGTATGATAATTTAATACTGCGGAAAATGATAAATATTTTTATTTATATCGATATAATAGAATTTTTTAACCCGAAATAGAAATGACGTTTGAGACTTGTGTTCAGGGACGATTTTCTACGTTGATGTTTTTCTTACCCTGGTCTTATTCAAATAGTTTGAATCGTACCCAGACAAGGACGATGATTTACTGTGTTTCACAAGATTCTTAAAACAACTAACGTTAATCCTGTAATCAGAAATTCTAATCACCACGCTAATTTTCTTCTGATTGGTCAATCACTTTCAATTGTACGTATATTTATACAGTTTAAAGTACTTTTAAGAATGTAACAAATAAATGAAAATTACGACTGTATCTTCAGAGATGCCAACAGTTACTATGCAAAAAGATCAAAAAAAAGATCTCAATTTGAATCTACTAAATCTATTAAAATCTACATATAGAAAGTCAATAGAAACTAGATAATTTTTTTTATTAATAATTTTAAAATATACAGTACTGCAGTATACAACTAGTAATATATTTTCTTTGTATTGTAATAATAAAAAATGATATATATAACTATATACCAAAGTAAAAAAAAATTCAAATAGAAAATTTTGCAATTTTAAGTTTTGGACAAGACTAAACCTCTCTAATATCAGTATTTTACTATGCTAAGGGCAGTAGGGATTGGAACCGCCTAAAATTTTTCTTAATCGTTTAATCGTTTAACCGTTTAACCGTTTAATTTGGCCGGCATT